GTCTGATGTATTTTCTATCCCCTTAGTTCCATCAGGCATCTTAGACTTAAAGTATTTCATGCCAACAAAAAAGGACAAGCTTCCTCTTTTGCATACATTTGATAAACATTTTAGCTTTGTTTCAGCAATGGATTTGTTACCAGATTCATCAGTAAAAGAAACCCCATCTTTCTGTGTGTGTTAGGAACATGTTCCAACCAGACTTTTTCAGTGGCAGTGTTCAGAAATGCATGAGAGAGGCATAGACTGATGCCTAAAATAATTTCTCTTAGGCAGAGATTTGTAGCTCCTGGAAGAATAAAATAATCTGTATGAGTTTGCTAAGTTGCTTCAAAAATCTTAGTTTCTCAAAAATCTAAGTATATATATAAGGAAATGATAATTCTTTAATTTAACCTACAAAAAGTATTCTCTGTTGACGGTGGGAAAGAGGTTATTAATTTTTAATCTGCCAATTGAGCAGTAATCTTGTCTAGCAAGTCCTTGGTTAATTTTAAAACAGAATTTGAAGGTGGTTTATATAAATCTCTTGAAATCATACCGTTAACCAGAATATGTTCCTTTGAAAGCAAAACCTATTTGCTCTGTTATGCACATTCCTGATGGAATGGCAAGAAGAGGATAGTTTTCTCACTTCTAAGCACGATGAGTAAATACTGCAATTTGCCAGTAAATTGTTTCTTTTGTTTATTTCTCAGGACTCTTATTTTCTGTTTGCTAGGTGTCTGCCCTTTTTTTGAGGAGTGGAAAGGGGCTTTTGAGCCAATCTGTGGTTTGAATTATTGCTTCTAACATACTGCTGTAGTGATAGAACTCCCTTACAAAAGTCTTTTCAATCACTGTAACCTCCTTTTACTGTTACAATTATGATTTTGTCAAAAGACATCATTACCACTCTGTTGTTATAAAAACCTGATTTCCTGGTGACTACAGAGGATCAGATCCCACTAACATGTTTTAAAGTCAGTAAAAGCATCTAGATAACGGTGTACCTACAAAAGCAGTTTTATTTGACATGCCCTGCTTCTTGCCATTCTGGTGCTCTCGCAGGAGAGTCCAAATTCGTCTTTTTCTAAGAATTATCAAGCTGTACATGCAACAGCATCTTGCTGGCTGTCGTGTATGGTGCATCCCATAATAACCATATTCGAGACTGGTATTCAGTGGACTTATACCCTGTGAATTATTTTGCCTTCAAAAGCAAAATCTGGCATTAATAGTGTCAGTAAAAAGTCCATCACTGAAACCATTTGTTCTCCAGTGGACAGATTGCAAGATCTTTATATGATATACCATCAAGCCCCAAGCACTTACCTTGACAAACTGCTATCAGATATGGAAATGTCAGCTATGGAAATCCACACTTTGCTTTGTTCACAGTTACTGATGCATGCTTGGACCAGCTTGTTATTTTCATTCTACTGAGCTTAAGATGCCTCTGTCATGGCTTCTTTAAGGGTTGGGGGTAGTTTTTTGCAAGTGTTTTTACCTTCTTTCTATTATCATTAGTGCTGATGTTCCAGTCCATGTCTGAGACTTCTCTCTCCTCTTAAAGACAAGTTTTTTTCGAAGAAAAGCCTATCTATACCTGCAGCTATTCTTCAGCATTTCCAGCATTCACTATGCAGATGCTATCTGGCATAACCATAGAGGTAATCTTATTTTTCGGATCAGGAGTTCACGTTGCTTGTACTTCCTGAGCCAAAGTGGCATCCTCTGTTACATTTTCCGCTGGTAGAGGCATCTGTCTTCTGTCTCTCAAGAACTTCTGTGTACGCAACTGCTCCCAATAGTATAGATGTTATATCTATAGTATATTATGCTACCAGTACTGGCAGTAACAGAAATCTCCATGTTGTTATAAGATCTCTTGGCATATCATCCTTACAAAACCTAATATTGTATACAAGAGCTGTGGGGTTTCTCACTTGCATGTAATGTGCAGTTATCTGCTAACATGATATCGTGAAGTCTGCTCACTTTGTGGTAGAGGAGAGTAATGAGCTGTGTGCCAGAGTAATGTTCAGTGTTTGTCTGGAAAAAATCAGTTGACTAGTTAGCGTAATGAAGTCAAAAGATTCTCGGGGAGTTATAACACCATATTCTTTGTATGCTGTTTAGGGGAGGCAGAGGGGACAGGACAGACACATTTGTGTTTATCAAAGTAGCTTAATCGCCTCAAAATATGATTTCCTATGTCAGAACCTTAGATGATGCAGTCAACTGCGTCTTAGTCTCTTGTGTTTGACAGAGTTTCTGGTCTCAGCAGTGTATTCTTAAGTTACTTCTGCATTAATTCATGAATCTGGTGAAATCGACTCCTTTACAGTTTCTATCTTAATGAAATTTTATCCTAGGATAAATTTTGTCTTACGATCTTATGGATATAGGAACATCTTATATTGTGATGTATTCTGTTTTAGCCCTTCGTAATTTCCATAATTTTCTTGGGTTTCCTCAGAACTAAATAGTCTGTAAGAAAATCTGTACCTTCCCCCCAGAAACATAGCAAATTGGGACAGTGAAATATTCCACAATTAACATTCTGCCTTGAGGAAACAAGTTATTCTTCTTTTGGACTTAGCTAGTTTTGATCTATACTGGTATTTGCCTGCACTTTGAGATTTTTACAAAGCTAAAATGTCAATGGTCATTTGATTCTCCTTCATGAAATATTTACTTGATGCATCCAGAGGTCTCAGAAGCCCAGTTTCCTTTATGTGGAAGCAAGCTGGTTAGATCTGCCGTGTCATGGTCACCTTGTTTAGACATCCGTCTGTTACCAAACTTACAGAGAGCTCACTGCTCAGTAATTCTTTTGTTTCATCCTCTAGTGCCTTCCAAAACTATAGGTCTGTGTTTTCCCAAGTAGAGTTTTTAGGACTTAAACTAAGGAGCTTGAACTAGAGACATCCTGAGCTCCCTTCCTGCCTGAACGGTGCTGTGATTCTCGATTCTATGATCTTATGTTAATGAACAATTTTTTGATAAAAATTTGTGGGTTCATTCTGGATAACGTTAGTAAGAGATCTCAGAGGAACTTCTATACTGCCTGTGATCAGGCTTTTATTGCGTTTGTCATGCTGTGATCCTTTCTTGACAGGCAAGAAAACTACTTTACCTGAGTCATCTTGAGGTTCTAATAGCTATCAATTTGTCAATTTGATTAAGTTCTTTGTAAACACTAAGGAATTTGTGAGTGCTAATGAAATGGCTTTTCTCTCCTCTTTTAGTATAATATTTGCATCCTCTTTTTCTTACATTACAGGTTCATGACACTAAAAGAGACGATACAGTATTATTGCCTAATCAGGTGTCAGAATCTTTTAGTGCAAATACCAAAAGCAACATGTGAGCTGACTTTGAATGACAAGTGGTAGGAGTGGGACCTCTGGCATCTTGAGAAGGACATCTGTGCCCAGGTTGATGTCAGTTTAACACAGGAGTACTTCCCAGCTTCTGGGCCTGTGCGTATACCTTTGCTGTGGTTCACATTTATTGTCTGGGCATGAGTTAAAGGAGCCATGGGAAATTTGGAGGGAGTTTACGTTCAAAGGAATTACAGCGGTGTAGGTTGGACAGGGATCTCTCGATGGTTGTAGGGAGACAAGGACTTTGTTTTTCGTGTCTCAGCAGACAGTTTAGATGCGGTTTGAAAGAGTTGGGATTACCAGATGGTGACTTCCACTAAATCCTGAACTCAGTAAGAGAAGAGAGCTGCTTCTATGTGAGGTAGCGCTGGTAAGGCAACTGGCTGCACCTCACTCTTTAGCCAGCATCTGCTTGTTCCTTCCCGTTTTCTATGAGTATGGTGACTCTCTGATTAAAATAAGAAAACTACAGTCTTGTAAATCATAGTGAAAACTTTACTTGCCCTGCTATAATCAGTTTCTTAAAGGGTTAGTGTTGGTCTGTTAGTTACATTAGCATAGTTTCTCCTCTTAGAGAGCATTTCTCAAACTTGTGGAGATGATGATTTAAGTCCTATGCGTTTTCTGGTTTTTTTTGTTTATATTAACAATATTTTAATACCATTTTTAAGATGCAATATAAAAATATGTATAATGTTGTGGATACAGCCTGATGGCTGTTTTAGAACAGGTTTGTTCCTAACTGTTTTTGTCTGCGGCAGTGTCTTTCAGAATCTGATTTCTTCCTGTTACTTGCTTTGATCTGTTTAGGTAACTAATAGTATTTGATTTTCTTTAAACTGCATTCACTTTGCAATTTGGTAGCTGTTGAATATCTGCTGTATACCAATAAGCAAGGAATTTAAAAAGATTAAGCAAATCCATAAAAACACTGTTTAGTGGCTGATGTGCACAACTAATACCTGTGCATCAACAAGACCTGTTGTTTTTTAGATGTAGCTTACTTACTAGGTGGTGGAAACATCTATTAAAGAGAGTTGAGAATGTTTTGTGGAGCAAATATTAAAAATTTTATACTGCTTTGTTCATTATGCTTTCTAAAGAGCAAAGCTTTTGGCATTTCATTTGGTAGAGGCTGTGACAGTATATTTTTGACAAGTAGGTGTTGCTAATAAAAAACTTATGCCTTTTGCAAAATTGTTTAGTCTTAATTGGATGCACCAGTGTAAATAAATCCCTTGTACGCTTCAGGTATGGGTTGATATTTTTTCTTTTATTTAGTGTCTTAGACGTTAGCCAGTATTTTTCACCAATCCCTTATGCTTAAATGCATTCCTTGTGCTTAAATTCTTAAATGTCTGTGCATATATTTAGGGAAAAGAAAGAAAGAACAAGAAAACAACCTAATGCAGAGCATTAGGCTCTATAGCTCAAGTTAAATAGACTTGAAGTTGTTTCCAAATTTATTCATGCTACATAATCTGATTTCTGTAACAGAAATAGTGGCAAAGTAATTATCAGTATGCTGGGGTGACCGTGAAAGATGAAGTCTCAAATAAGGAGTAAAATATTGTATTCATACAAAGTAGTTTTATAATGTAATCGAATCCTATTTTTTCCATCTCTTAGATGATGAAGCATGCCTGGGACAATTATAGGCAATATGGATGGGGACATAATGAGCTCAAACCAATTGCCCGGAAAGGACATTCCACCAACATATTTGGTAGGCTATATTTTCTGGTTTGTTTTGGTTTTGGGTTTCTTGTTTGTTTGTTTTGTTGGGTTTTTTTAAATATTTCTTTTCATGCTATCCTCTTTGAAAGTCTACCCAAACTTCCTAGCAAATTCTGTTTTGATATAAATCTTTTGAAGTGTGGTTGACAGAAGTGTATCAATTATTTCCATGGTACTTCAATGAATTACTTTACTAAACTATCTTTTGGGGATTAGCATGTTCTTATTATTGCAAAAGCTAAGCTGTGTCTATATGCACTGTTACTTTGTGTACACATATGTATATAAATAAAAGCTACAATGCAGTGATGATACCTTGGGATGCAACGAATATAAATTTGTTTTTAAAAAAAACAACTTCATCTTGTCGAGATGTTTGTGTTTAGTTCTATGAGAATGTGATACAAGACAACATGCACATGCAAGATGCCAAAAAGCTGCTGGTACCAAGGTGAAATTTAAAGTAGCTTTTAAAAAAAGGTCTGCGTAAGGTGAAAGTGACATTGTTACTTGTGTGTGACTTGTGGATCCTGAACCTGTAGACTGGAATGAAAGAAGAAAACATTCAAAATACAGAAGTTTGAGGGTAGGGGCAAGTTTTGAAGAAATTCAAGGGATGGAGTGAAAATATTTGAGCAATGGGGTGTGAATATGAGTGTTACAGAAGGTAAAGTTCAAGAAATTGAATAGCCTTGTCTTGCATACCTGTGATCAGACTAGGTGACTTTTCTTCCTTAAAACATCTGTGATCTGCAGCAGTACTGCTTTTTTGGTGTGAATGCACTGGGGTAGAACAAGTAGAAGAGTGATTGGAAAGTGACAAGCATTTTATTGGTACTCAAACCAGGAAAGAATCCATTTTTTGTCCCCAGTTCTGTAGGACTGATGGTTCAAAAAACCTGGTTGTAACTGTTGAGGACTGAGCCCTGGAGGTTCTCTATGTTCGTCCTCTGGTATAGCAAAACACATAACCTTGATGTTAGTGATGAAGGTTAAGCCAGGATTGGTCCAGAATACACAGCACCTAAGGTGACTGAGCCATGAAGTTCATGCATTTATATTGACACACACAATATTGAAACACAGAGCTGCCCTAAGACTGGGTAGGGTTTTCTGAATTCTCTTCAGGGTTCCATACTGTGTTCATCTACTCTCTGGTGTCTGAGGAAGGTACAAATTTATCATAACCACTCTTTACATCAAGAATGAGTGTGAATATACTGTGTATAGCTTCAGTATGTTAGTATTGGTTATAATAGTTTGCCTGAAATCAAGATTTTATTGGCTTTTATTGTAAGGCAATTGACTAATGACTCTGTGTGAGTTTGGTTCTCGTAATTAGTATTTGTTTTATTTATCTTGCTTTCAACCTTTAATTTGTTTCTTCGGATGATAGAAATACAGATTATAGGATTGTGTAATTGTTTCATTTTCTGTGCTTAGTGCCTGAACCCAGAATAAATTGACTTAGATCAAAATTTCGTTAGCTTTTTTTTTTCATTCATAGGGGAAAAAGTAAACTCCCAGAGGAAACTTATTCCAAAAGAAGAGCCAAAGGACTTGTTTCAAAAGTATTGTAATACTTAAAGGGATTTTTCATTTTTTTGCTCTGTCCCTTCCCCTGATCTCCTTAAATTTTATCTTGAAACCATTCTTATATCTTACCAAATAAACAAGTGATTTTCTTTATATCCAAACAGTTTTTCAGCAAATTTACTTGCATGATGAACTTCAACCTTAAATAAGTGCTGGACACGGAGAAAGGAGGAGAACTTTAACTAGGCACACTGCTCCTTTCCCCTGCTCCCAGCAATGGAAAGAGAGCCTCTGGGTTACATTTTCTGCAGTACTTAACAAACAAATAAAAACAACCCCACAAATACACTTCCTCCCCCCCAAACTTGTAGTGTGTAGCAGCCTATTTAAATCCACAGGAGAATACTTTCAGGTGCTGTACTAGCCCTACCTGCAGTAAGAACTGTTTGCCTTTACTGCAGGCAAACCCCTTACAGCCTGGCATTGATGGCTTTTGGTCATGCACTGGAACCTGGTTTCTTACACTTCAGTACGTTGTGAAAGCTGACATTGTTTTCCTTGTTTATATTCCTTTATAAAGAAAATGACTGGCTCAGGGAGAGTAGTCTGAGGGGAGGAAGATAAGCAAGTTAGCATCCTCAGGGGAAAAAAGCATCTGGACTGGATGAGGAGTTTGAAGAGTGAAGTGGAGATGCAGCCGGTTCTGAGCATAGGGCAAGAAAGAGCATGAGGCTGAAGGGAAGACCAGAGCAACAGGCTTCTGCCATGATAGACAGAAAGACATTTCTTAGGTTCCCGGAGAGTATCATGTAGTATTTTTAGATAACTTCTCTTTGCTACCTTGCACATTGGCACTACTTTCATTTCTACTAGAAGAATCTTTTCTGAAGCCTCCTGTGATTTAGTTGTATGTTGTCTCTAATTCCTGGCTTTCCTTTATATTTTTTCCAGCTGATGAAGTTGGGTCTGACAGTGAACAGCTTTAACATTCACCTGTATGATCATGTGTCTTTGCTGTTGAATTTACGTGCAGTTCTGTTGCTTAGTTTGCCAAGTATAATTTTAGATTAGCCTTGGTTTGTAACCCAGACTCTCTGTGAAGTGAGGTTTTTTCTTTATGTGGCAGGAAAACATTTTTCTAACGTTTGTTTTTAATGTGACTGACACAATATTTTGAAGCAATTTTGAATTATAATTTTACTCTAGTCTTTTATTTTCTTTCCATTCCTCCTCTGCTTACTTCTAACATGTCTCCTAATGAGTCTGGAGTACTTCTACTTTTTTCTCCTTGGAATGCTTATTCTTTGGAGTTTTGGCATTGCTGTCTGAAAGAAATTGCAGGCTTCCCCCACATTCAAGTTTCTGATCCTCTTATTCCTGCTAACTCTAGCAGCTGATTCCTTAAGGTGTTTGTCCTTTTAAAATCCAGATGCTATTTTGTGCCATTTAATTTTTAGCCAAATCATGTTATGATTGCTCTGTTCAAGGCTATTTCATATGAAAAACTTTTCTGAAATACATAGACTTCAGTATATATCAAATCTAAAATAGAATGAGCTATTGTTGATTTGGTGGGTTGTTGATGGGAAGGGGGGAAAAAATATTGGTACTTGTACCAAGGACTGTCTAGGCTGTATTGTTATTGCTAGTACTTTACCAATCTATTGCCCATAACAACACCATTCCCAGTGGTATTTGCCTTTACAGAAGCATTACATAATTCTTTTTGAAATCTGATGCTATTTTTAATAAAAAGCTGCTCAGCAAAACCTGGTTTTATTATTCATCTCAAAGCCGATTTGACGCAAACTATTTTCTGTTATTACTGTAGTCTGTTGAACTTCCATTTCAATTCATAGCGTGTCTGTGAGATTCAGCAAGGAGATGGTATTGCTGGTTGACACTGCAACCCTTTGCATGAATCTTTGGGAAGTTGGGTTTACTGATAACTCTCAAGTGGGGTAAACACAATTCAATTTGGAAGGTAAATAAGCCATAAATCTTCCTTGTTGGACTCCCCTTTCCTTCCGAAGCAGTGTATATCTATATGCCAAGAGGAACGTTAGTGTTCCTAACATTGCAAGATCCAGCAGGGTTCAGACTGGGATCAGAGAAGGCGAGAGGAGGTGGCCTGCTCTGCTCTCATAAATCTTAGTTTTAAGTCATTAAAAAAATAAGGAAAGGTGATAAACTTTGAAGCAAGATGCTCTGTGCCTCATTGAAGCATGCCAGTGAGAACCTTTGTGGGCTGCCCCAATTATTAGTTTGACTTTTATAACAAAACCTGCTGGGGTTGCTTTAGCTGACCTGCAGCTAGAAACTCCTGCCAGTCTTTTCGAGATGTCTGACCTGGTGACTGTAAATTGTAAAGGAGAGCCTGCTAAAAATGTTGCCTATCAAACTGTATAGTCAGTCAGTAGTTAAAATCTTGAATAGTACCTCTTCAACAGCTGGGTCACAGCATTAGTAGTATGGTGCTGCTTTGGGAAAGCATGACTGGGAATTGGTGGGCTTTTAAAGATATTTACATTTAGATGACATAGGAAACAAACCTTTAGATGTTCTGTGTTGGTGCAGCAGGGTGATAACTTGTTCCTATTTTTGTGAAAGTTGCCTGGTTTTGAAAGGGCTGGTAATCTCAAGATTTGTTATTTATTCCTACCCCATAAGATAAAGTATAAAAGGCAAGGAAAAAGTATAGCAGAGAGGAGTAATTTCTCTTCCTAGTTTAAATTTTTATTTGCAGCTCTGCTAGTGGTTGTTGCAGTTAAGCTAAAAAAAAAAGTTAACTTTCTTGTTGGTCTGCTTAAATTGCTGGAATAATTTGATGACAGCCGCAGGGCGTTATTGCAGAGATGGGATTGTATGGGATCTGCATCAAGTTCTCATTAGAACACAAAGGGTGAAGAGAAAAGGCTGATGGAAAATGATGCATGTCAGATAATGAGCAAGCATGGCAAATGCTGAGCTTACTTCAGAAGGTTTTCTGGGTTTAACAAAAACCAGAGTAGTTGATGATAGTGTTGGATTCTCTTGCTGTAATGAAATCTGATTGGATTTGCTTTTGAGGATCAGAGTAACCATCTGAAACATGCTATTTAAAGATGATTTGTCCCTGCCCTTGTTTAGTTACCCCTCAGTGAACACCTTATGGAAACACCATTAAAATTACCGAGTCCAGATATGCTTCAGAATTTTAAGCTATATGTTTTTGTGGCATCTTTTACTTCAGTGGCTTATGAACTAATTACCATAGCACAAGTTTTGAGGATGCTTTACTGTGATTTAAATTGAGCAGTTTGTACTAGTGGATTTGTATTAGTCTTTGATGTTTATTTTTCTAATACAACATTTATTTGAGAACCTGAATGACTTTAAGAAAAAAATAAAGAAAAAAGGCCACAATCCTTGGGCAACTCAGAACATTGTCCTCAGCAAAACTAGAAATTGTGG